TCAGTGACTTTATTGATTCACATCCTGCTGCCAATCTCACTTATTCTCTTCATCATTATCAGGTGAACATCCTCTGCTGTAACACCTGACAGTCTGCTCCTGTTCAATATATCAATGATCTAATATCAATACCTTAACCTCCTCCCATATTAGTCTTTGACGAGTTTAGAAAGACGTTTTTACCATCATTAACTAATTTGTGCAACTGAAGGTAGTTAGTGAACTTTGGTGGAAGTGTTCTATTTTTTGAAGCACAAATCTGAACACTTTTTTAAAATTGGTCAAATTGTATGGCTGAAAAGTGAGTTTTATATACTTCATACTATATTTAGGGCACCCTAAGGGACTTTACTGTTGTTTGTTAAAATTGTATAAAATAAGCAGTAAAAAGAGAGATTTTCATTATCTTCAGTAATCACACACAAGGGGCTACTAGCTATATATTCCATATAAATGTAGAGAAATAAAGAGAGAACAATCAAGTATTGGATATCTATGAACTCATAAATTGATTTTGACCATTGACAAAAATGTGATTTTTCATGGGATCCAAAAATTTAAAGGTTATACTCTTAGATACTCAAAAGTATGTCCATACCAATTTTCAAGACTTTAGACCAACCAGAACACGTTTTAAGGTGTTTTCCCTTATCCCTTTAAATAGAGTCTGAAATGGGACCAATTTAGCTCATTTCCAGTTCTATATTTTCAGTCTGAGACAAAGCATCATTGTTTATCTCATGGTCAAAATCCACCAGGTACGGCCATGACGCGTTCTAGAGCTGATCACACCCGTTGTACACAACGCTAGTGATTCCACCAGAAGTGTCAGTCCGCTCTGCTCCGTGGACAATATGTGGCTGCTCTATTTTTGAGGGAAAAGGAAACCAACTCACGTCAAGCAGATCACACTGACAGGAAGTCAGACTCAGGACAAACTACACAAATCAAGTCGGGCAGGAAGGCGCTCTGAAGTTAGCTAATAGCTTCAAGTTAATATCCATCAGTGAACTCTGTGAATCCCTGAGAGTTGAGGCAGAGAAGGTGCAGACATCAGAGGAAAAATGTGTAACTTTCTAACCAAACTCCATTCAGAAAACAAGTATTTTAAAAGTTGTTCAACATCAACATCACAATGTAATTATTTCAGCATCCTTTTGAACCGTTTATTGACATTAAATCACAAAAACACCAGTTTATTTTGGGCTTGAAATGAAAAGTTGCCATTAGACAGACTGAGGGTGTCCCTGTATTTGGTGAGCATGCTCAGTCGTGCTCTGCCTGCAGCAGATAACCAGATAAAGAAATCTGTGACCAGCTGACGTTGGATAGTACTTTTACATACATTTACCTCGTTATTGACATTTAACATCTCACATTGTGACATTGTATACATGAAATATATTATATGATATATATATGACAGAAATGACTTAAACATTTCTCTCTCATTATTAACTGATTTACTATTAATATTTGAATATCTGTTATCTGTCTGTCTGCTGATTTTAGACACTTTGCCCTGACAAATTCTAACATTTTAATGAGTGAACCTTTCAAACAGATGTTTGATGATTGTATGTTAATGATGAACTCTCAGCTGTTTGATGAATCTGACTCATACAAACAAACCTGACAGATTCACTGTTTATTCTCATTGTTCTATCAGCTGTTTGGTTGTTTGAACTCTAATGCTGCCCTTTAAGAAAAGTTTAGAAAGTCTCACGATCCCCTGTGAAGCTTTAACGACCCCTAGTGGAGGTCCGCCCTTCAGGATGGGAACCAGTGTATTAGAGAACGTGTGTCTGAACCTCTGATGTGTCTTTAACTGTCGATTGAGGAGTGTGTTGACATTCTCTGTGACGTTCAGGTAGCGTTTTAAAATCATTAAAATTAGTTTTTCTGTTCATTTAACTCTACTGACATTTAAAATTGATCTGTATCTGTACTTTCTGTGTCACTGCTGAACTCTCGGTGTGTTTGTGGACCCACAGTCTTCCAGGTTCAGGGTCTGTGTAGAACCAGGGTTCCTGTGGTGAACAGGAGCTGTGAGAGGTGGACTCCTCAGGGTCCTGGACATCATGTTGAAAATGTCTGCTGTGTGTTTACCTTTAATGTTGCATTCCCACAAAACATGAAGAAAAATATTAATGGGAGTAGATCACATACAAAGTCACAGCAAAGACGAAAATATGTGCCGGCGACGCAAATTGTAAAAATCATCCAAAATAACCCCATTCACAATTTCATCAAGTTGACAACATTGAGCAGTGAGGTGGTCATTGTAGAGTGTGTCTGGGTTGTCTGTGTGGAGGAAGGACAGACAGCTGCTGGAGCCCACAGACAGCTGCCCACAGACAGACAGCAGCCCACAGACAGCTGCTGGAGCCCACAGACAGCAGCCCACAGACAGCTGCTGGAGCCCACAGAGTCACACCAGATCATAACAGAAGTTATCTCAGGACACTTTTCAAATAGAGCAGGTCTAGACGAAACTCCTTTTGGCATTATTTACCGAGACCCAACAGTTTCCACCATGAGCGAGCACTTCGCAACGGTGGCAAGAAAAAACTTCCTTTTAAAAGGCAGAAACCTAGGACAGACCCCGGCTCTAGGTGGGCGGTCGTCTGTCTCAGAGAGAGAGAGCGAGAGAAAGAGAGAGGTGACTGATGAGGCTGAACATGAAGAAGATGATGATGACGACGACGACAACGATGGGGGACAATGAGCAGTGATTATAGTAATAATAGTATCTGTAGTAGTAATAATAACAATAATATCAGTAATATTAGCAATGGGAGTCAAGCAGGACCATGGCAGGAGGCTCCACCAGGATCCATGAGAACCTGTAAGACGAGAAAGCATAAGAACCAGAACTCCGGGGAAGAAGTGAAGTTAGATAACATGCATTAATGAGACATGAATGAGTGCAGAAAGAGAGAGAGAGGAAGAGAGCAGCTCAGTGCACCATGGGAAATCCCCGATAGTCTAGGCCTATAGCAGCATGAACTAAGAAAAAGGATGGTTCAGGACCTCAACCTGATCCAAGCCTAACTATAAGCTTTATCAAAGAGGAACGTCTTTAAGCCTACTTAAATGTGCGGGGGTTGTCTGCCTCCCGAACCACAAAACTTGGAAGCTGGTTCCACAGAAGAGGCTTAGGTAATGAAGGCTCTGGCTCCTGTTCTACTTTTAGAAACTATAGGAACCACAATGTAACCCTGCATGTAAGAGAACGCAGTGGTCTAGAGGGGTGAATATGGGTTACTATGAGATCTTTAAGATTAGAAGGGGCCTGACCATGAAAGACTTTATAGGTGAGGAGGAGAATTTTAAATTCTATTCTAAATTTTACAGGGAGGCCAGGGCAGAGAAGCTAGTACAGGAGAGATGTGATCTCTTTCCTAGTTCCTGTCAGTAATCGTGCTGCAGAGTTTAGAATTAATTGGAGCGTCTTGAATGACTTATTGGGGCAACTCATAATAACAGAGTTGCAGTAATCCACCTAGAAGTGCAACAAGTGCATGGATTCAGTTTTTTGCATCTGTCTGTGACAGGATGTGT